GCACACTGCACCCTTCATTTTTGTCCCTACCCTGGAGCCTAAGAAGGTCCATAAAATCCACTAACCCCAGAACCCCAGAAAATTAAATCTGGTCTATGGGAAGCCATGAATCTCTGTCCCTCCTTCCCTTTCCTTCACCCATGAGGCGGGGGCACCAGAGGAGTGAGGTGTCTCAGTTGGGGCCACATCAGTGAACATTGGGGTTTTGGGGGGGTTTTTTGCTTCTCACTTCTCAACTGATTTTTCTGTGGGTCAGTGACCCCCGAACCAAAAAGGTTTCCCCGCCCCTGCCATAAATAAAGAAAACATTTAAACCTTTTGTGTTGGAAATAAATTAAAATTTTATTTTATTTAAAATGAAGTTTGATGAGTTAACCGGAGAGAGTTAAAATGCTTAATTTTTTATAATTTAAATTAAACCATTCTTACTAGCTGCAGCTGGTTCAGAAAATAAGGTCACCGTCCCTTGCCTGCACTTGCCTCCCCTCTCTGCTCCTGCCCCCAGCACACTTACTCTAAAAGGGTAAGTTCTGCATCTTTATTTATTAATGAAGCTGCTGTAAGAAGGACTTTTATTGACTTTCAAAAGTATCACTGGCCCTTGGACCCATACAGAATGGCGAATAAGTCATATCTTGGCACTCCATCTCTGAAAGGTTTCTGACCCCTGCCCTACTGTGTTGACTGGGAGCAGGAGATACATGAGCCCTTTTGCTTGCTGCTATTTAAAGGGCTCGCATTTGCTGGGCGGCTGCGTTGCATGGCAGCCACCCAACAGGAACGTGTCCTTTAAACTGAAGAAACTGAAAGGGCTTGAAGCTCTCAGTCCTGGTGGCCCATTGGTTGGGAGCTGCCTGGGAGGTGCCAGCCTTTCAACTGCTTCTATTCAAAGGGCTTGTGTCTGCCAGGAGGCTGCCAGGCAACAGGTCTAGCAGTGGGGTCAGGAGCTAGCAGCTATGTTATGTGAAGTCTAAGCCTCCACTCCAGACAACTCTGGGAGGAGGCTAGCCTCCAGAAGCCTCCCATCTGCTTCAGGTCCCTTCCATTGGCCAGAAGTCAGAGGGCAGGGACCCCAGGCCAAGAAAAGCTCCTGGCAGGGTAGTTCTCAACCCCAGCCCTTCTGCCTGAGACCACACCCCTTCCGGGTCGGCCTGCGGCCACTTCCAAAATTTGTGAAGTGCCCCCCCTTCCAAAAGTATAGCCCACCCCGATCTCAGTCATCCCTGAGGGATGCCTATCCAACCTGCTCTTACATATCTCCAGTGATGGAGATGCTACAACCCCACCCCTAGGCAGTTTGTTCCAGTGTTTAACCACCCCAACAGGAAGTTTTTCCTAATGTCCAACCTAAATCTCTGTTGCTGCAATTTAAGTCCATTACTTCTTGTCCTAGCCTCAGAGGTCAAGGAGAACAGTTTTTCTTCTTCCTCCTTGTAACATCCTTTTAAGTACTTGAAAACTGCTATCATGTTCCCTCTCACTCTTCTGTTTTCTAAACTAAACAAACCCAATTCTTTCAGTCTTCCCTCATAGGTCACATTCTGTAGACCATTCATCATTTTTTTGTTGCTTTTCAATGGGTCTTCTCCAATTACTCCATGTCTTTCTTGAAATGTTGGGCCCAAAACTGGAGACAATACTCGAACTGAAGCCTACCTAATCAGTGCAGAGTAGCGCAGAAGAATGACTTCTCGTGTTTGCTTACAACACTCCTGTTATTGTATCCCAAAATCATGTTTGCTTTTTTTGCAGCAGTGTTACACTGTTGACTTGCATCCCTAACCACAAGCTAAATATAAGCGACTAGTTGAGTAGCAAGTCACTATTGAACTACTCTTCCCCTCCCCGGCTCCTACTATATTTAAACTGCACAGCTGCGGCAGGGCCCCTTATCGACTAATTGTATATTCAGTGTAAATTATATCGCGTACACGATTAGTCAATTACTCACTTCTTAACATCCTTACTTGTGGTCCACTATGACCCCTAGATTCCTTTCTTCTGTACTCCTTCCTAGACAGTCTCTTCCCATTCTGTATGTGTAAAACTGATTGTTCCTTCCTAAGTGGAGTACTTTGCATTTGTCCTTATTACCTCAGACTATTCTCCAGTTTGTCCAGCTCATTTTAAATTATGACCCTATCCTCTAAAACACGTGCAATTCCTCTCAGATTGGTATCATCTGCAAACTTTATAAGCATACTCTCTATACCAATATCTAAATTGTTGATGAAGATATTAAACAGAACCAGTCTCAAAACAGACCCCTGCGGAACCCCACTTGTTATGCCCTTCCAGCATGACTGCGAACCATTAATAACTACTCTCACAATGGTTATCCAGTCAGTTATTCACCCACCTTATAGTAGCTCCATCTAGATTGTATTTCCCTAGTTTATTGATAAGGTCATGCGACACCATATCAAATGCTTTACTGAAATCCCTTATCCACAAGACTTGTTATCCTATCAAAGAAAGCTATCAGATTGGTTTGACAAGATCTGTTCTTTACAATCCATACTGGCTGTTTCCTATCGCCTTATCTTCTAGATGTTTGCACACAAATCCCTTAATTACTTGCTCCATTATCTTCCCTGGCACAGAAGTTAAACTGACTGGTCTGTAGTTTCCTGGGTTGTTTTTATTTCCCTCTTCCTATAGATGGGCACTATATTTGCCTTTTTCCAGTCTTCTGGGATCTCTCCCAACTTCCATAACTTTTCAAAGATGATAGCTAAGGCTCAGATACTTCCTATCAGCTCCTTGAGTATTTTGGGATGCTTTTCATCAGGCCCTGGTGACTTGAAAACATCTAACTTTTCTGAGCAATTTTTAACTTTGTTATTTTTTTATTTTGACCTCTAAGCCTACCCCATTTCCACTAGCATTCACTATTTTAGGCATCCCATCACCATCAATCTTGGTAAAAACCAAAATGAAGTCATTAACCACCTCTGCTATTTCCAAGTTTCCTGTTGTTTCTCCCTCTTCAGTGAGCAATGGGCCTACCCTGTCTTTGGTTTTCCTCTTCTACTATGTTTGTAGAATGTCATCTTGTTACCCTTTATGCCTCTAGCTAGATTGATCTTGTTTTGTGTCTTTGCCTTTCTAATCTTGCCCCTGCATACCTGTATTGTTTGCTTATATTCATCCTTTGTAATTTTATCTAGTTTCCACTTTTTATTATTCCTGTTTGATGTGTAGATCATGTAAGATCTCCTGGATAAGCCAAGGTGGTCTCTTGCCATACTTTCTATCTTTCCTACGTAGTGGTATAGCTTGCTTTTGGGTCCTTAATAATGTGCCTTTGAAAAACTGCCAACTGTCTTCCGTTGTTTTTCTTCTTAGTCTTGCTTACCATGGGACTTTATCTACCAGTTCGTTGAGTTTACTAAAATCTGCTTTCATGAAAATCCATTGTCTCTATTTTTCTCCCTTCTACCATTCCTTAGAATCATGAATTCTGATTTCATGATCACTTTCACCCAAACTGCCTTCTCTTTTCAAATTCTCAACCAGTTTCTCCTTATTTGTTAAAATCAAATCTAGAACAGCTTCCCCTTTATTAGCTTTCTCAATCTCCTGAAATAAAAAATTGTCTCCAATGCGGTCCAAGAATTTATTGGATAATTTGTGCCCTGCTGTGTTAGTTTCCCAACTTGTATCTGGATAGTTGAAACTCCTCATCAACACCAAATCCTGTGCTTTGGGTGATTTTGTTAGTTGTTTAAAAAAAGCCTCGTTCTCACCTCTTTTGCCTGAGTAGGTGGTCTATAGTAGACCCCTAGCATGATATCACCCTTATTTTTTACCCCTTTTAACCTAACCCAGAGACTCTCATCAAGTCTGTCTTCTATGTTCGTCTCCACCTCGGTCCAAGTGTGTACATTTTTAATATATAAGACATCTCCCTTTTTCTCTGCATATTGTTCCTATGCAAGCTGTACCTTTCTATTACCAGTATTCTAGTCGTGTGTATTATCGCACCAAGTCTCTATACATGGACTCAGTTTTATATCAACTAGAAAAAAAAAATCAGTTTTGTTTAGTGTTGCCTTCAATCTTTTTCATAAGAAAGCTACATCTATCTAAAGTTTTATCTGACTTTGACAGTTACAACTGAGAAGTCTGTACATATATGGCTTAGCAGTATTTCACACTACCATAAGAAAATGAAAAGAACTGATGTCAGACAAAGATTGAACCAGTTTCCAGTAGGGATGTCTAAGTGTAACCATTTATACGGTTAACCAATCAGCCTGTGTACACTGTTACACACAGCCTTCTCCCTCCCCTCGCCCTGGCACTGCTGAGGCAACGGGGACAGGAGCAGAAGGGAGTCAGTACAAGCTGGGGGAGGAGAGGCAGGAATTAACGGCCATCCCACTGTGCAAACATGTAAACGTTGAATTTTTTTTACTAGTTACATGTTTATTTGCATAATGATTTTTGTCATCCTTAGTCTGCAGTGATATTAGCATCATTTATTTATACATTGTCTTCTGAGGATTGCTATATTCAAGCTCAATTTGCTGCTGAGCTGGTATATGTACCATGGAACCATAAACAAATTCTGATGCTTTTAGTCTTTTTGACATGAATCTGGTTTCCTAAATTTTAAATGTTACAAGTCTCATAGTAGTCATGTCTCACATATTAAACCTTTTCCAAGGAAGGCACACTTAGGAACAGTAAGGAACATATGTCCATGTTACAGGCAACTTTTAGTGTTACCTTCTGTCTGCTCAGTTTTATCTGAAGACACAGTTCAGTCTTTCTCCTAATTGACATCCCTTAGTGATGATTTACAATTAGCAGTATGTTTGTAAGTTTTAGTTAGTGACTATAAATGTCTGTGACATATTTTTAGATGCTTAATATAGATATAAAAAATGATTAACATGAATGAATAAATTGTTTGCTTTTGAAATGTTTAGCTTTTTCAATTAACTAACTTCAAATCAAGAAAATCTAGTAAAATATGTTTATAGTAAATTCTTAATGCCTAAAACTAAAGTGTCACTAGTGTCTGTCACTTTTTTTTATACAGAGAAATGGTATTGAAGCCAGTGATCTTAAGAATGCAACAAGGGACATAGTGTTCTCTAACAATTTGTGCAGGACATCCTCAGTCTTATTTCCTTCTCCATCCTTTATGTATCAAGGCTTTTTGATTCTTGAGATGTTGGTCCTCCCTCATCCAGCACCTAATCTTTCCCAAATGAGGGAGTTTCCTGGACCAGGGATGGTCAATTCCAGCCCCTCTGCTGTTGGCCTTTGGGTTCTTCCTGGGGTCCGCCAGCCTCCCAGTTAGGCTCCTCTCACGGCTCCTGGCCCTCCTGCTGGACCTGGCCACCAGGCTCCGCTGCCACTGGAACAGCTGCACTGCTAGCCCCTCAACCATTGGATCAGCTTTGCTTCCAGATCCTCCGCCACTAGACTCCCAGCTGGCTCTTGCTCCTAGTTGTTGGGGCTCTCTGGTTCAGCAACTTCTGTGGTCTTACTAGAGCATGGATTTTGCTGGACTAGAGAGCTTCAATGTGTAAAGCACAGACCAAATTGCTGCATACATCTGTTGAGTATAAATGTTGATCTCCATATCTTTCAGCTGGTTGCATTTTTGACTATGGTCATCAAAAGAGATTCCTTCAGGATCTAATGCTACAACAGACTATCGTTCCAGCTCTGTTTCACATCACAGCAACAAAGGTATTATTTTTTTACTCCAGTCCTGCTTTTCAGTCCAGGTATGTTTTGGTGCCTCTCTGAAATACCCCAGTACCTGTCTTGTTTTGTGTGTCTGTTTTTGAAACTCATTTCTGTATTGTACTTCCAGTTTGCTTGGCCTGTTAGCATATAAGACAATCTTGTGGACTAAGATGATGAAAGCAAGTAATGGAGAGACTAGCATGCCATTAGGTAATAGATGATTTTGATCTTGGCTGACCAAGAATGTACTCTAGGGATAGTCTGTAACTAAGCGCATGTCTAGACTACATGGCTCCGTCGATGGAGCCATGTAGATTAGGGTTGTAGGCAAAGGGAAATAAAGCGGCGATTTAAATAATCGCTGCTTCTTAAATCGCCATTTCATTTAAATTAAAATGGCTGCCGCGCTGTGCCGATCAGCTGTTTGGCAGCAGAGCGCTGTAGTCTAGATGCTCCACGGTCGACATCAAAGGCATTTGTCGACCTCCCCGTTATGCCTCATGGGATGAGGTTTATCAGGGAGGTCTACAGATGCCTTTGATGTCGACCGTGGAGCATCTAGACTACAGCGCTCTGCTGCCAAACAGCTGATCGGCACAGCGCGGCAGCCATTTTAATTTAAATGAAATGGCGATTTAAGAAGCAGCGATTATTTAAATTGCCGCTTCATTTCCCTTTGCCGAGTAAACAAATCTACATGGCTCCGTTGAAGGAGCCATGTAGTCTAGACGTACCCTAAGAATGCAGCTGTGTTCCTCCTTCCGGGCACAGACAACTGGCTTGTGAGCAATCCTTCTAAGAAGTTTCTGGACCAGAACATGAGGGATCAGATTTTCCTACTGTGCTTTCATCTCACTTAACCAGAAAGCTACAAGAAGGCATTTTTGGTAGCAAGGGCTGCCTTCTCCATGCCCAGGACTGAATGATGTTCAGTAATCGTATTTGCCAGTTACTGGTCCAGACAGGTATGGTTCTTAGCCAAGTTCTGCTGAGCAAGGCTGATGCAATCAGACTGAAAGACTAACCTCTGCTCATTACTTGAAACCACAGCTTCTTGGATGGGGTTTCTGAGCAGGTGCCTTTTGTGCCCCTGACATTTTATTAGGCATACAGTTTCATGTGGGAAAGGGTTTACTGTGCAGTGTAATCATGCTTCATGTACAACAGCTGCTTGTCGATCTTCACTTACCTAACTTAAGGCTAACTCCACCTACATACAGACCTATCACAAACTAATAGAAAGTTAAAAAACAAAAATAGTCTGATAGCACTTTATAGACTAACAAAACATGTAGATGGTATCATGAGCTTTTGTGGGCACAGCCCACTTCTTCAGATGACCAGCTGATGATACTATCTACGTGTTTTGTTAGTCTTTAAAGTGCTACCAGACTCTTTGGGGTTTTTTTTAAGTTTATCCTGTTACAGACTAACTCGGTTATGCCCTGAAGCTAATAGAAAGTTAACCACACTTACCAGGTTGATTCAGGATGTCACACTTTAACACCCACCACTATTTTTAAATCCAAAGTGTTCTGGGATATTAATGTGGCAGCAATAATGATGAATGCTCATTTGAACCAACTGTTTCTTGTCTGCTTGATTTTTTTTTTTTTTTAAACATGGAAAGCCATTTTCCTTTTGGGAGTTACTTCAGTTCAGAGTGAGTGAACTTTAAACTTCAGTGATTAACTTATTTTTCAGCAGGCTTTGCATAGATATAGAGGTCCTTTGATTCTTCTCCAGAGGGGTGCTGCAGTTCTCTCTTAAGTAGCCTGTCAGTTTTCTGACAGTCTCTCATCTCTGCTTGTCCATCCCTGTGGGTTCCTTCTCTGTAATTAGTGTTCCCAGATATCTGGTTTTTGACTGGAACACCTGGTCAAAAAAGGACCTTGGCACCTGGGAAACCACATCCCTAGCTGGAGCCCATATCCTCTGCCCCAGCCCGGTGAAAATGAATGAGTGAGTGATGAGGGTTGGGGAGGGAGAGAAGATAGAGTGAGTGGTAGGGGGCCCTTGGAGAAGCTAGCATATTTCATAAGTCTTGTATTAAGGAGCTAAAATCTACAAGTGAGAGTTTTGAAAAAAAGATACCTTCAAAAAACCAAAATTATATGAATAGCTTTCAGAGAGCAAGGAATTTTAATATTCATTTGACAATGATTTCTGTTATAAGATAATTTTGTTTAAATGTTTGCAGTAGTAATTCTTTACATCAGTTGATTTTTTTTTACTGAGCTTGTTTCCCATTCAGAAAAATTTCATGAATCCATTGAAAACACTCTCTGTACATCTCCTGGTATTCCAGAAATGGGGCTTAGTACTGAACTAAAACAATCTATAAGCCGCAGATATGGCACTCCCTAAACATAAGGTTGTTGGCCTAAAGTGGTAACACTTGCATGTCCCCACTTCACAAAGTGTTGTTCGCTTACTTATTATCAACGAATACAATTTCTAATAGCTGTTATGATAAGGATGCTACAATATTATTAGTTGAATCACATGCCAGTGCCAGATTCTCCAGGCCCTGGGCATACAAACAAAAAAGAAATTAAGATCACCACACCAGTCTTCAAGAGAAAATTATTGCTAGATAAGTAAAATGAGCAATGAGGATAAGATTGGCCAACTTTCTGCTACTCTTTCATTCAGAAACTTAATTAGCCCCTCACACTCTCTTCTTTTCTAATTCTGACAAACGCTATGGAAGAAAGTTGGTAGAAATCAGTACGGGTCTTCCAGGAAACAGATAGTATGTGATTTTCTTAAAACAGTTTTTTTTAAAACATTTTTGGAAGTTAGAATATCTGATTTACATTTGGGCCACGTGTAACTTCTTTGATAGATCAGATATTAAATTTGTGTGATGGGGTATTTGGAGTGCTACCTGAACTGTGGAATTGCTGAGCTCTGTCTCACCAACCTGGGGTATCCTTCTCCTGCTGTGATGCTGTGACAAGCTACAAACATCTGGCAGGTGCTGCACTTAATGCAGGTATCCACAGGCAAGGACACCCCTCAGTGTAAGTTTATTATCCAGTCCACCCCTCCCTTGATATGGAGAAGAAACACAAAGTCTTTTGTAAGCTGAGCTCAGCCTTCCTAAGCAGTTTTCACTCAAAACATGTTGTTTTAGGTAAAACTTAAAACAGATGTATTAACTACTGAATGATTTTAAGTAATTATAAGTAATAAGCAAAAAGCTCATTGTTGGTTACCTAAGAATTAATATTAAATTCTCAATCTTCAGTCCTATAAGCTCAACGAAATTTGAATCCAGCAGATCAGCAATAGACAGACTGGAACTGTCCTCCAGCCCAGCCTTCTGCCCCAGGTCAAAGTTTTTGTCCTCCAGACACATTCTCACGTATTGAGTTGTGGGGAGTGATGCCAAGTCATTGTGTCACTTCCCCTCTTTGTAGTTTCTTTCAGCTTTTTGAAAAGATCTATACTGGACATGGGAGTCCACCCACATTGGTCAAGCAGTCTCTCTACTGTCTACTTGCTCTCTCTGAGAAGTCCCTGTTGTATACAGTTCCAGGAATAGCACATTTTTTTAATAAGCCATTGGGGCATCGGGCTACTCCATTCGTGTACCTGAAAGGCTATGTGTTGGTGTTTGAAACCTCACAACATACTTCAGAATTCACAAATAGCAACACTTCATGATTTTTCATACAGTAATCTCTTATATAACTCAATAGGATATTAATGTTCAACAGATCAAGACTTTTCACAATGCTAGGCATACTTTTTACAAAACATTTAATAATTATATGACGGGGGAATACACGAGTTCCAGGATGTTGCTTTGTGGTGCAAAATACCATAATATGGTCTCCTCAGAGGCATTTCATGTTATCAATTCATAGCAGAATGTGCAACGGTAGTGTAGGTCTCAGATAATCTAAACTTTTTTATAGATTTAGCAGACTAGACTGAGTTATTTAAATAGCTCTTTCAGTTTTGTATTTGCTTCATCCTGTCCATTCATTCAAAAAATGTGTGCGCAAAGACAGAAATAGCCACATTCTCTGCATGCCCAAAGTATGAGGTCCACAAAGTGGTCTCCTTACATGCTATTGCAATATAGTCATTAAGAAGAATGTCACAGCTAGCCAGTTCCTAAACATGGACCTGATTCGGTTCTTATTGACATCAATGACAAAACTCTCCCTTTGATCTTGTTCTCACTGAAACCAGACTCTTCAGTCTTCATAAGAATACCAATCCAATAACCATAACCAACCAGATGTGTGTTTGTTTGTAGAGAGACAAAGTAGCTTACCTTGACATCTTGAAAAAAAATTGCTTCATGGGTCTGACCAGGAAACACATAAGTGAGTCTGTCCCATTCTCAACTCTGTTTAAATTAGGGGTGGGCAATAATTTTTGTCCGGGGGCCACTTCAAAATTTTTTTAAGTAGCCCTGGGCTACCCTGGAAGAGGTGGGCCCTAAACAGGAAGCGGTGGGGCCTAAACAGGAAGGGGATGGGGAGCTCCTTTGCCCCCCCCTTCCTTCTAGGCACCCATGCCCTGGAAGAGGCTTCGTATGCTCCCCACCCGCAGGTCAATCAGGGCCTGGGTGCAGGGGAGTGCAGGAAGCCTCCTCCCACCCTGTGAGGAGCATGTGGCACTTTGAAGTGCTGTGGGCTCCTTGCAGGGCCGGGGCAGGGTGAAGAAAGCTTCATGAAGCTCCCCTGCCCCCAGGCCCTGATTGGCTTGGGGGTAGGGGAGTGTGCAAAGTCTTCTCCACTCTCCCCCTGCCCTGCAAACAGCGTGTGGTGCTTCAAAGCAGGGCAGGAGGAGGCTTCGCATGCTTCCCCACCCCCAGGCCCTAACTGGCCTGTGGGCGGGGGAGTAGCAAGGTTTTCCCCGACTGGATCCATCCACTTGGCAGGCCAGATCCGGCTCATGGAGGCTGTTAGAGGGTAGGCTCTCCTCAGGCTTACATCCGCCTCATCATCGGGGTCCTATCAGGATTCCACCCTCGACAC